AGCTGGCCCGTGAGCAGCTGCGCCAGCCGTGGGTGGCCGTAGAAGCCCGCCTTGATGCGGCTGAGCATCCCGATCAGCCGGTACAGCTCGATCCGGATGTGGAAGAGCTGCCGCCTGGCGTCCCTCACCCAGCCGAAGTCCATGGCGACGTCCCTTGGGCCGGGGTAGAGCCGCGTGGCCTCCTCGCGGATCTGTGGGTGTGTGCGGACGCCCGGTCCCTCTATGGTGATGATGTCGTCTTCACCAATGTCGAGGAAGGAATGCGTCCAGCGATACTCGGCCGACTCCAGAAACTGACGTGCACGGACAACAAACGCCTGTGTTATGTGTGTGAGAGCCGCTTCTCATGTCAGCCATTCACCTGTGGTGTCCAGAGAGTGTGTAGGGCAGCGAGAAGGCTGAAGAGCATCGGTAGCAGGTCACCCAGCGCGTCGTCCAGTGGGTGCTTGATGGCGATGCGAGGCTCAGTGGGCGAAGGGGTCGTGCTATTGGCTGCTGCTGGGGGTAAAGGGGGCAGGTCGCGGAGGAAGCCGCCCTTTTTGGCGGCCTCCATGGACGAGGGCACGTTGGTCCACCGCACTGCAACAGACAGGGCGTTCAGCCGACGCTTCAGATCACCGCTGCACAGATAGACACAGAGACGGTAGATGAAGAAGAGATGGGTGGGTGTCTGTGGCTGCTTTCATCCTTACCGTTGTGTGACGAGTCTGTCTTGCTGTGCGGGGTCCGTCCTGGCCTGCGATGTGCTGAATAGCAGCTGCACCAGGTCGGGGAGGGAGGCCGCGGCCTTTTGTAGGGCGGGGTCTGTCAGCTGCTGGATGGTGGGGGCGATGGCGGCGGTGAGCAGCTGCCGCTGAGACTCGAACGGCTGTGTGGACGTGTTGAGGGATATCAGGGTCTTGAGCAGATGTAGACGGTCAGTGTCGCCCAGCTGACGGAGAAATGACACACACAGACAGACAGACCACATCCACACGTAAGGATGGTTATATGTGTATGGGTGTGTCTGTCTTGCCTTGTCGTTGGTGAGCATCGACTGGACGGTCTGTTCGATGTGGTTGAGGTAGGGCGTGAG